GGAACCTCGAAGGTAACTTTACCACTGAGCTAAAAGGGTGTCTGGGGGCCATACTCTCGGGGTTTCTCCAGTCTCCTTTAGGCCAGTAAATCTGGTCTTTAATTGACGGAATTTCAAGTGAAATGTTTCAACAGATCCAGCACTGGAAGTGTTCACTCGTCTATGCCAAGAAATTTGGAAGACCTGGCCAACTAACTGGAAGAAATCCATATTTATGCTTATTCCCATGAAAGGTGATCCAGCCGAATGCAGAAATTATCAAACAATGTATTAATATCAACAAGGAACTGCCAGAAATTCAGGCCGATTCAGAAGAAGACGTGGAACCAGGGATATCACTGCTGATGTCAGATGGATCCTGGGTGAAAGCACAGAATACCAGAAAGATGTATACCTGTGTTTTATTGACTATGCAAAGGCATTCAACTGTGTGGATCATAACAAATTATGGATAACGTTGAGAAGAATAGGAGTTCCAAAACACTTAATTGTGTTCATGAGGAACCTGTACATAGATCAAGAAGCAGTTTTTCGGACAGAACAAAGAGATACCACATGCTTTAAAGTCAGGAAAGGTGTGTGTCAGTGTTGTGTCCTTTCACCATACCTATTCAATCTGTATGCTGAGCAAATAATCCGAGAAGCTGGATTATATGAAGAACACGGCATCAGGACTGGCGGAAGACTCATTAACCTGCATGTGCAGATGACACAACCTTGCTTGCTGAAAGCAAAGAGGACTTAAAGCACTTGCTGATGAAGATCAAAGACCACAGCCTTCAGTATGGATTACACCTCAACATAAAGAAAACAGAAATCCTCACAACTGTACCAGTAAGCAACATCATGATAAATGGAGAAAATACTGAAGTTGTCAAGGATTTCATTTAACTTGGATCCACAATCAACACTCATGGAATAAATCAAGAGATGCATTGCATTGGGCAAATCTGCTGCAAAAGATCTCTTTAAGGCGTTGAAAAGCAAAGATGTCACCTTGGGGACTAAGGTGCACTTGACCCAAGCCATGATATTTTCAGTCGCATCATATGCATGCAAAAGCTGGGCAGTGAATAAGGAAAACGGAGGAAGAATTGATGTCTTTGAATTGTGTTGGCAAAGAATATTGAATATACCATGGACTGCCAAAAGAACAAACAAATCTATCTTGGAAGAAGTACATCCAGAATGCTCCTTAGAAGCAAGGATGGCGAGCCTATGTCTTACATACTTCACACATGTTGTCAGGAGGGATCAGTCCCTGGAGAAGGACGTCATGCTTGGTAAAGTAGAGGGTCAGCGAAACAGAGGAAGACCCTCAACGAGATGAATAGATACAGTGGCTGCAACAGTGGGCTCAAGCATAACAACGATTGTGAGGATGGCGCAGGACTGAGCAGTGTTTCATTCTGTTGTACCTCGGGTCGCTATGAGTCGGAATCGACTCGATGGCACCTAACAACAACAACATAGTACTGTAGTTCAGAAGTCTGACATGGGTCTCACTAAGCTAAAATCAAGGTGGTGCTCAAAGTGAGGTCCTTTCTGGAAGCTCTATGGAATCATTTCGTTTCCTTTCCAATGCTTCTAGAGGCCACCCCACATTCCATAGCTCATGGCCACTTTCTTCCATCCTCACAGCTAATAACATCCCAACTCTCTAACCCATTTTCCATTGTTATTCTGTCTCTGACCATAGCTTGGAAAGATTCTCAGGTTTTAAGGACTCATGATTAGAGTGGGTCTACCCAGATGATCCAGGATAATCTCCACATTTTAAGGTCCTTAACCTAATCTCATATGTAAAGTCCCTTTTGCCATGTAAGGTAATATATTCACAGTTAGGCATGAACATCAGTAAGGACCATTATTCTGCTTACCACAATCAGTATTAGATTAATTGGCAGTATATGTATATAATATAGGTAAATTCAGATTAATTAGGGCTTCAGAATAATATCTGTACTAATTGTGTGGGTACTACTAAAGTATAAGACAAACTTAGGGCCATGTAAACAGTAAACATGATAGGAATTAGTTCCCAAAGGTATTTTCCATGTCACCTAATCCTGAACCTTTTGTATTGATAAGAGATGTGCTGTTACAGGCATCAGTGTCATTCAAGGATGTGGCGGTGGAGCTGACCCAGGAGGAGTGGCAGCACATGGGCCCTGCTCAGAGGACCTTGTACAGAGACGTGATGCTGGAGAACTACAACCACCTCGTCTCAGTGGGTGAGCGGACCTCACCATGTGACTCCCTCTAGGGTGCATTTCTAGGTTTTTTGTTTTTATTTTGTAAGTTTTGTAATCATCGTTTTTTGAGATGCAATTAAAAGAGTTCTCTGACTTTGCAAAATGTGTAGTTGATTTCTACCACCAAAATCACGATACAGAATATTTTCCATCACTCCAGAAAGTTTCCCTGTAGCCATTTGTAGTCATTCCTGTCCTTCAGCTGCCCCGTGGTACTTCCATCAACTGATCTTCTATCACAGTAGTTTTGCCTTTTTTTAAATCATTACATGTAAATGAATCATACAGTATACACACTTCATTGTCTGACTTATTTCACTTAGCATAATGCTTTTGAGATTCATGCATGTTGTTATATGTATGAATAGGTTACTTTTTTTATTCCTGAGTGATATTTATTTGTATGCATATACCACGATCTGTTATCCATTTACCACTTGATAGACATTCAGGTTGTTTCCAGTTTGGGACCATTATGAATAAAGCTACTGAATGTGTGAGTACAAGTCTTTTTATAAACATATGTTGTCATTGTTTGTGTGTAAATACCAAGGGGTGGACTTGCTGGGTCTTACGATAAGTGTATATGTAACTTTTCAAAAAATGCCAAATGTTTCCAAGGGACTGTGTAATTTTTCATGCCTATTAACAATGTATAAGAGTTAAAATTGTTCCACATTCTGGCCAACATCGGGTATTGTAAGTCTTAACTATTTTTTCCCATTCTGGTGAATGTTTATTTGTAGCTTATTGGGTTTTAACTTACGTTTTCCCTAATGAGTCATGATGTTGTGCATGCTTTTTTTGTCCTGTTTAAGAATTCTTTGCCTAATTCAAGGTCACTAAAATTTTCTCCTAGGTTTTATTCAGAAAGTTTTATAATATTAGGTTTAGATGAGGTCTGTGATCTGTTTGTAGGTAATTTTCCTATATGTGTGAAATTAAAACTTGTAGTTCATTTTTTGAGTCTGGATTTCCAATTATGTCAGCAATATTTCCTGCATAGATTATTCTTACCCCAATCAACTACTTTGGTACTTTGTCAGAAATACATTGACTATACAGTGTAGGTCTATTTCTGGACTATATTCTGCTACATTAATCTGAAATTCTATCTTAATGCTAATACCACTCTTTCAATTAGTGTAGGTTTGTAATAAATTTTGAAATCAGGAAAGCTAAGTTCTCCGACATTATTTTTATTTTCCAAATTGTTTTGTGATTATACTTTCCTTGCATTTCCATATAAATCTTAGAATTCTCAAATTTCTTCAAAAACCCTGATGATATTGTTGCAAGTGCCTTAAATCTATAGCTCAGTTTGGGAATGATTTACATCTTAACAATATTGAGTCTTCTGTTCCATGAAAATAATGGATCATTTTTTTTTCCAGGATTTTGTTTTTCTTTGTGATATTTTATAGTTTTCAGTGTACATGTTTGTGTCAGGGATGCTCCAAGACCACCTTAGGTTTAATGATTTTGCTAGAAGCATTCACAGAACTCAAAAAAGCTGTTATACTCATGGTTATGGTTTATTATAGCAAAAAGTCACAGTATAAAATTACCAAGGGTAAAAGGCTCATAGGGCAGCATAAAGGGCTGGTTCATACCTCTTCACAAATGAGTGCTCATATTCAACATGAAGAGGGAAAGAGAGAGCCCCCAGTTGAAAGATTCTTCTGCATTTCTGAGGTATCTGGGTAAGAGGGAAGCGTGGAAACATACTGGTACAACTATGCATACAGTTTTTCCCTGCCACATCCCAGCGTTCTTTTTTCCCACCTGATGCAGTCATCTGGGGTTCAGGGCTGCAGCTACCAATGCCAGAATCAGTGATAACTCATAAGCAAGAAATTGTGTCTTTAAACTGTTATGTCAGAATTCCTAAGGGCTTAATGGGTTAGAGTGTGCCTTCACCCTATCTGGAAACATTGGGGTTAACAGTGAATGCAACTGTATTATCTAAGGTTAGAGGGAGCCTATTGGTTCTATACCTGTGTAACATTACATTCTATAAATCGGAGTGGACTAAGTGTGCTTGGTAGGCTAGCATAGTGCTTGCAGTCTGGGCCAACACAGTGACCAAATCTAACTTTCCTTCCAAAGGTGGAAAAATTTGGTTTTGTGTTTGCTGAGTCAGTCATGTAGACACATAACATCAGCATGGCTGACATTAGCTAGTCTCAGCCTCCAGTCTCTCCAAAAATAAGCTGATACCACATGGCCTAGAGTCACCACCATAATTACATTGTTAGCATAGACTATCTGGAATGGCCCAAGGCCCCAGGTAAACAAAGACACTTTTATCAGACCAAATATTCCAAGGGTTTAGAGATTATATCCCAAGAGCCAGGCAAGGACGTGACCTTTCTTTGGAATATTCAGGGTTTGGACAACCCAGGCCTGCTGAATTAATTCTTTACTGCACAGGCCACTCCCTGGCCTTTGGCCTAGGCTGTTTTATATCAAAACAATCATATTTGTGTGAACATCTACATTTATTATACCACTTATGTAATAGACACCACAATAGTATCAGTATAAATTTGGCATAACATTTGTTTATTCCAAATGAACGAACAAATCTGTCTTGGAAGAAGTACAGCCAGAATGCTCCTTAGAAGCAAGGATGGCAAGACCACATCTCACGTACTTTGGACATGTTATCAGGAGGGACCAGTCCTTGGTAAAGTAGAGGGTCAGCAAACAAGAGGAAGACCCTCAATGAGATGGATTGACACAGTGGCTGCAACAATAGGCTCAAGCATAACAACGATTGGTAGGACGGCACAGGACCGGGCAGTGTTTCGTTCTGTCGTACATGGCATTGCTATGAGTTGGAACTGACTTGACAGCACCTAACAACAACAACATTTGGAGGCGTCAGTGTGAGTTAGGGATGCATGTAAAGCAATAACTAAAGCATCTTATATATCCACTATATGGATTTTCATATTTTTATGCTAGTTTGATTACTCATTTTCCCCCTTGATCTACCGCTGTTTGTACCTTATGATAAACTTGTCCAGAACTATTTAGCATAGAAATTGTCTAATAGTTAGCTAAATCTAGTTCTTCCTAAGGCTACTCATTTTCCATCAATATTACATCCTGAGAAGATTTAACTCTCTATCAGTATTATCATATGACTTATTTATATAAAGTGGTTGACTCTTATCTGTAATGCCAAGGTTATATCATATTGCAGTGTGGTAGTAGGTGTAACCTGAAAAATAAGAGTCAGAACATACTGGTACATTACTAGAGTTCCACATAAACTGGTTGACATTGAGTCAGTTCTGACTCGTGGTGATCTCACGTGTGTCAGAGTAGAACTGTGCTCCATAGGGTTTTCAGTGGTTCATTTTTCAGAAATAAATCAGCAAACCTTTCTTCCAAGGTGTTTCTGGATGGACTTGAACCTCCAACCTTTTGGTTAACATATGAGTACATTAACCATTTGCACCACTCAGGGACTGTAGTGTTCCACATAGTCACTGATAATTGGTTCAGTTTATCATCAAATCATATAGCGAAAATGTCTCATAGAGTGATGCCACTCAGGTTTGCAGGCTTCCACTCAACCTTTTCAGGTTTCAGAAGCAGAGGTTATCTTGCAAAACATACAGCTTTATAGTTTCGGGCATCTGGCATAATTGAGCAAAGAGACAGTATCTATTGCTCTGGGCCTCTCTTGAGGCACCATTGTAATATTGGATTTCCCTCATTGCATAACCCATTTATTCATTCCTTTACCCTCCACTACTAGTTCTCCTTCTCTCCATTTGTCATTGATTTTTACCTAAATTTTTCCACCTTTGGAGTTCCCTGGGCCGGAAGTAGGATCTGTCACATGCCTGGAGCCATTCTCCCTGCCTTGGAGAGTGAACAAATTAACAAATGGGGAAAAAATAAACTGCCAGCTCCCCTAAACCAGGAACCCAGGGTAGGCACAGCTCCTTTGCCTAGGCACAGGCATAAGAGCTCCACAGACTTTGAGTGCCTTTCCCCCTGCATAGACTTGTGTGGGCCCATCTCAACAGCATAGGCCCTCATTACCACAGTACAACAGGGTATATGCCAGAACTCTAACTTCAACTGTTGCAGCTGTGAAGTGGCAGGTGCTTGACATTTGACACTTCTCTGCCCATTAAGCAGGGTTTTCACCTACCCACATCAGGGGCCTGAGGACTGGTGGCTCCACCCATGCCACCTAGCCACCTGCGATAGGGCCTATGAATAAGAGGTGCCCCCCAGTCCTTAGAGCCAACAGCATTAGGTGCTCATAGTCCGGCCACAAAACCCACCCACCTACGCAGTGTAGGGAACAGGGACACGCCTTCCTCCTGGACACTTGGGGGTGGCCGTCAGCCCCCTGCCTTGCTCAGAGTGTGTCACCCTGCTGCAGCCAGATGCCTGTGCCTACACGAGTCACTCATGCCTGTCTAGCACTGTGAGACCCTACACCACACACTTGGTGGCTATCTACCTGGACACCTAAGCTGAATCCATACAGGAGGAGTAGGCGGACTCCTGAGCTCACATACCTAGTAACAGATCTAACCACCTGGTGACAGGACACTAGAGCTTCAAAGGTGCCAATAATCAAACTAGCTCATACGAGCAGCCTATTTGGGCATATCAAAACAAAACAAGCTAGAACACAGTAAGCAAACATAAAATAATAACTTACTGATGGCTCAGAGACAGCAGTCAATATCAAATCTCATGAAGAGGCAATCCACGATGCCTTCAGCAAGCTCCCAGAATAAAGAATCTGGGAATTTTCCAGAGGAGGAAAATTTCTTGGAATTACCGGATGCAGAATACAAAAGATTAATATACAGAACTCTTTAAGAAATTAGGAAGGAAATTAAGCAAAACGCAGAACACGCAACAGAGGAAATTAAAAAGATTAGAGAAGAGAATAATGACAAATTTAACAGGCTGCAAAAATCCATAGAGAGACAGCAGTCAGAAATCCAGAAGATTAACGATAAAATTTCAGAATTAGACAACTCAATAGAAAGTCATAGGAGCAGAATTGAGGCAATGGAAGTCAGAATTAGTGAGATTGAAGATAAAGAAAGCACTTGACACCAACTTATTTGAGGAAAAATCAGATAAAAGGATTTAAAAAATGAAGAAACCCTAAGAATTATGTGGGACTCTATCAAGAGGAATAACCTGCAAGTGATAGTAATATCAGAATGGGGGTGGGGGATAACAAAAAAATACAGAGAGAATTGTTGAAGATTTGTTGGCATAAAACTTCCCTGATATCATGAAAGATGACAAGATATCTATCCAAGATGCTCATCGAACCCCACATAAGGTAGATCCCAAAGGAAAGTCACCAGGACATACTAAAATCAGACTTGCCAAAACCAAAGATAAACAGAATTTTACGAGTGGCTAGGGATAAACGAAAAGTCATCTACAAAGGAGAGTCAATAAGAATAAGCTTGGACTACTCAGCAGAAACCATGCAGGCAAGAAGGCAATGGGATGAAATATATAAAGCCTTGAAGGAAAAAAACTGCCAGCCAAGAATTATATATCCAGCAAAACGGTCTCTCAAATGTGATGGTGAAATTAGGGCATTTCCAGATAAACAGAAGTTCGGGGAATTTGCAAAAACCAAACCAAAATTACAGGAAATACTAAAGGGAGTCCTCTGGTTAGATAATCAGTAACATCAGATAACAACCCAAGACTGGAACACAGGACAGAGCAACCAGATATCAACCCAGATAGGGAAGTCACAAAAGTAAATCAAAGCTAAAACACTGAAAATAGGGAAACAGATGTCAGTTTGTAAAAGATGACAACATTAAAACAAAAAAGAGGGACTTAACAAAATGTAGACATAGATTTTTCATATGGAGAGGAAGTCAAGGAAGTATAAAGAAATAAAAGACTGGTATAAACTTAGAAAAATAGGGGTAAATATTAAGGTAACCACAAAGGAAACCAACAATCCTACAAGTCAAAATAAAAAGCTAGAAAAATAAAAAGACTCAGCAAACACAAAACCAGATTTTTCCACCTTTGGAAGGAAAGTTAGATTTGGCCACTGTGTTGGCCCAGATTGCCAGCACTATGCTAGCCTACCAAGCACCCTTAGTCCACTCCGATTTATAGAATGTAATGTTACACGGGTATAGAACTAATAGGTTCCCTCCCCCCTTAGATAATACAGTTGCATTCACTGTTAACCCCAAAGTTCCCAGATAGGGTGAAGGCACACTCTATCCTATTCAGCCCTTAGGAATTCTGACATAACAGTTTAAAGACACAATTTCTTGCTTATGAGTTATCACTGATTCTGGCATTGGTAGCTGCAGCCCTGAACCCCAGATGACTGCATCAGGTGGGAAAAAAGAACGCTGGGATGTGGCAGGGAAAAACTACGTATAGTTGTACCAGTATGTTTCCCCGCCCCCCTCTTCCCCAGATACCTCAGAAATGCAGAATAATCTTTCAGTTGGGGGCCCTCTCTTTCCCTCCTCATGTGAATATGAGCACTCATACGTGAAGAAGTGTGAGCCAGCCCTTTATGCCTTTATCTCCCCATTTCCTAGGGTGATAGATGTTTCAGTTGTCTTTTCCAATTGTATATCAAACCATTACTCTGAGGATGATAATGATAAGCAACATGGTATGTCCATTTGATATGATATCTCTTGGCCCATTGTTGAATACTATGGGCTGCAAGCATGTTCCTTGGTCTGAAGAAATGTAACTCAGCAGTTCAAATTGGTACAGTGTCTTGTGTTCTAGTCCTTTTGTAGTATTTTGAGCATTTACATCTACCACTGGGTATGCAAAGCCTAGTTCAGAATAAGTATCTGTTCCTGTCTGGAGCCATTTATACCCTCCCAGGGCTATCAGCATGGAGTTCAGTGTAGTCTGCTTGTCACCTGTGTGTGGGGCCTCCCTCTCCCCATAAGTGCCCCATAGTCTCTCTCTCCTTGTGGCAGAGAGGACAGAACTTTGCATTTTGTGCATCAGAGGGTACAAGAGAAATATGTCTAAATCAACCCATCTCTGCACTGCTGCAGCCTCACCCTATTTCCATTCATTTTATGGACTCAGGTGCACCAGATATCCACTTGGCAGTTCCATCCACCTTTCTTAAATTCCCATCGGGATTTCCATAGGACCATTCCCTATATGGACATGCCTTTGCAGTTTACCATTGCCCATCTTCTTGACCATATGCCCAGACCACTGGTCACCCCTCAAAAGTCAATAAAAACCCAAACAATCGAGGCTTTTAGTGTTGTTCAATTCTTCCATCACTGCAAGGAAAACACCATGCAGTTCAGTCTACTGAGCTGATTTGTTCTTACATCCTTCAGTCTGAGTTTTTTATCAATTGATCATACTCCATCAACCTTCCAAACAGCTGTCGGCTCTCCTTGGAACTGCCATCTGGAAACCAAACAACTTTTTGTTGATAAATACGGCACTATTCATAGGGTCTGCTCAGGAGTTGTAGAATCTGACAGTTCCTCATGTGGTTCCAAAGTCAGCCCTAGGGGAAAAAAGCTCACTGCTTATGAATATGATGGGTATCGTGTTCCTGTATAAATCAATTCCATTTTGTTATGGAACTTTTTTATTAGAGTGGTATAGGATTCTAGGTTGATTTTTTTTTTTTTTTTTTACTTTTAATACTGTAAAGATGTTTTACCGTCTTTTGGTTTACATAGTTTCTGACACGAATTCAGCTTTTATTTTTCTTTGTTTCGCTGTACATAATAACTCTTTCTGTGTTTTGTTTTGTTTCTGGCCACTTAAGATTTTCTTATTATTACTGGTTTTCAGCAGTTTGATTATAATGTACTTTTTGTAGTTTTCTTTTATGTTTCCTCTGCTGGGGGTTCATTGAACATAGATCTTTAGGTTTATAGACTTCGTCAATGTTGCAACATTTTGGCCATCATTTCTTCAAATGTTTTCTTCTGTGCTCCCTACTCTCTTCTCTTGTTCGGAAGGTCTAATTCTGCATAAGTTAGACTCTGATATTGTCCCACAGGTCACTGCTGCTCTATTTAGTATTTCCTTACCCTATTGCTGTTGAATCAATTCCAACTCATAGCAACCCTATAGGACCGAGTAGAACTGCCCCATAGGGTTTCCAGGGAGCAGCTGGTACATTCGAAATGCCAGCTTTTTGGCTATCAGCCTGAACTCAACCACTGTGCCATAAAGCTTCTTAGTATTTCCTAGTCTTTATTTTCTGTTTCTTTTTTGATATTGTGTATTCCTGTGTTTTAAAGTTCATTAATCTTATTCTGTGGCATCTAAACTTTTGCTAATCTTATACAGTGGTTTTTGTTTTGTTTTGTTTTGTTTTTTTCCCTTTTTCCATTTCAGATGGGTCTAAAATTTTGATTTGGGACGTTTCCCCAAACTTCCATTCTATTCTTATTATATGCATGCTTTACTCTTTGCTCTTGAACATATGGAGTATAATACTGAAAAAAAATCTAAACCCATTGCCGTCAAGTCGATTCCGACTCATAGCGACCCTATAGGACAGAGTAGAGCTGCTCCATTGGGTTTCCAAGGAGCACCTGGTGGATTTGAACTGCTGACCTTTTGGTTAGCAGCCAAACTCTTGACCACTATGGCACTATTTTAATATCTTGACTACTGATTTTATCATAATGAGAAGAAAATGTAAAATTTCCATTTTACAGGGTACAACTTTACAAAACCAGAAGTCATCATCAAGTTGGAGCAAGGAGAAGACCCATGGTTATTAGAGGAAGAATTTCTAAACAAGAATTCCCCAGGTGAGTTATCAAATACTGGCAGAAGGTATCCAAGGAAATTAAATCCAAAGTGATCAACTAGAAGTGGGCACTTTTGAGGCCTTTATGTTTGGAATATTAGAAAATCATTCATCTTTTCATCTTTAAAACTGGGAGCCCAGAAACTTCATTTATAGCTGAGAAATCAAGTAATATATTATGAAAAAAAGATAAAAACAACATATAAGAGCAACTAAAACTGAGGCTTAACAAATGGGAAAAAAGAAACATTCTGATTTCATCATTGGTTATATAATAAGGAATGACTGGATACTATCTAGGTAAATAGATGATTGAGAAATTACATGAGATTATAATTGTGAGGATAACTACTAGAGCAGAAATACAGCCTTCTTAATTTTTAGAAGAAAAGTACAGTGAACAGAGCAAATGAAGAACCTTGCTGAAAAGGTTTTATTTAAAATTTGTAAGTACACAACATAACATAAAGACAAACATCTTTCATATCAATTTATGGAAATGGATTAAAGTCCCCTTTTAATAAAAATTTGTATGAGATTTTCCCAAAATGATATACCAAAGAAATAATTTGGCAAGTTTGAAATACAAAATAATAAATTACCAAGCCAATAAACATATAAATGATTCAGAGTTAAATTATCTAACTACTTCTCAAAGTTGAATTCAGATCAAAAAACATCAAATGAGAAAAGATGCATTTAAATAATGCTAAAGAAGACAGGTTGAAAAAGAGAAAGGTTTTGAACATCTGTGCACCAAATACATTATCATAAAAATAAGCTTTTTGTTTTATAACAAATTGCAAGAGATACAAAGAGAAAATACAGAAACAGACTAGGTAGAGTAGACCTTAATATACCTCCTTGATGTCAGACCAAATCCAGTGGACAACAACTGAGACTCTAGCACTGGGGACACCAAACTACAGCCCTTGAGCCAAATCCAGCCAGCTGCCAATTTTTGTAAATAAAATTTTATTAGAACTCAGCTGAATCCATTTGTTAACGTATTGTGTATGGGTCCTTTCACGAAACAGTGGCAACATATAATAGTTGCAACAGAGACTGTGTATTACCCACAAAGTCTAAAGTATTTACTGTCTGGCCCTTTACTAAAAAACTTCACCAACCCCTGCTCTAGAAGATATAAATAGTATGTTTTATAAAGTGAATCTAATATATATCTGCACTAAGCTAGAGGCACAGTGGGCAAATCCCACCTTCGTTCTGAACTGTGTGGTAATGATCAGCATGAACCCAGTTCCTACCTGGAAATGGATCTAGTCCTCACCTTCCCACTTCTCCATCCTTATCACCAGCCATTCAAAGTGGCACTCTGTCATCCCAGCTACTCACGGTTAGATCAGGGGGTACTGGCTATAAGCTTGGAGGTTCCCCAGCCTCCTAACATCTGATCTGCCAGATTCTTCTCTCCTTCATTCCTACCCACCCAGGTCCAGGTCAATGAGCATTGGCCACGAGCTTGAAAATGCACATGATTTCCTTCATTCAGACCAGCTGGCCCCCTCTGGTCTTAGCCACTCCTAGCTAGGTCAGAACACAGAAGTTAAAAGGACACAGTCCTACAGACTGCCAAATAGGCAGACACCTGCCCCTGCTGGATTTCACTTTCCCTGTGGTTTCGGTAATTCTCTGGAAAGACTCATAGAGTTCATGGATACACTATACTTACAGCTACTGATTTATTAAAACTAGAAAGAAGGCAAACGAAGAGACGCATAGGGTGAAGTCCGAGTTGGGTTCCAGCATGAGGCCCCAGTTCTTCTTGAGGTTAGCTGATCGGGTGTGGAGTGTAGCCCCTTCTCATTTGCACAGATTTTCAAGTGTTATCTGTCAGTTTTAGATAATAAAGACACCTTGATTACTCAGAAAATTTCAAGGGTTATCTTTCAGGATACAAAGATAAAGGCCAAATTGAATTCTTTGTCTCACAGTTATCTTTGTCTTTCAAATTTTGTACTGTAAAAATGCAGTAAATGTTTTAAATAACATTGGAACATTCACAAAATATAAGTAATTTAGATCAAAGGGAAATTTCAATGAATTTTATGAAGTAGAAATATTACCGTCCAATAAAATTAGAAATTACAAGCAATATGAGAAAAAGTAAATCCCTCTATCTGAATATCAGAAATAAATATGTATATTTTTAAAACCTAGTTGAGCAAGGAGTAAATCAAAAATCAAAATTGCAGAATATCCAGAAATACATAAAAATGAAAAACATGTATTATAACCTTTGGGCTACAGATAAAGCAATGCACAGTAGAAAATTTGTAGTCTTACATACTCCTTTTATAAAGCAAGAAGTTTAAAAAGACTAGATAGGACTGAAGTATTTTAATAAAGATAAAACTAGAAATTAATGCATTACTAAGGTATCAATGATAATGCCAATAGGTGATTCTCAAAGTAAAAACAAAATTGTAAAACTGGCTCATCTACACTAGACAAAGGAGAAACATCATTATGTAAGAAAAGCTCTGCAGACATACCTGACATACAATGGTGCAAATATTTTGAAATAAGTATAATGTAAGACATCTAAACAGAAGTTAAAAAAGAGGCACACATTAAATAAAAACTACATAGTATAATATACCATGTTCACAGATAGGACAACTGTTTTAAAACTCATCCCCCTCAATGTGGTTATATGCTCAAAATAATACTAAACAAAATTTCACTGTTTTTTTTTCGAAACTTCAAAAGCTGATTCTAAATATTATATGGAAGTACAGAGGCCCAGTAATAGTTAAAACACGTTTTGAGAAGAATAAATCGTGAGACCTTTCTCTACCAGCTTTTACGACGTGTTGTAAAGCCGTCATAACCAATACAAAATGGTACTGTTGTGGAGGTAATTAAATAGGGCAGTGAAACAGTAGAGAGCACAGAAACAAACACATGCTTTAACAACAGTTTTTTTCTGAAAAAAGTAGCACTGCAGAATCCTGGAGAAAGCTGCTGAGAAGTGACATTGTACCCCTGTCTTTCACCATACAACAAAAATCAATTGTGCGTGGATTCAAGGCTGAATTGCATAAGGGAAGGCTTTAAATGTTTTAAAAGATAATTCAGGAGACACATTTTAGCCCAGTGAGACCCATTTTTCACTTCTGATCTGACCTCCAGGACTGTAAGATGATGTATTTGTGTTGTTTTATGCCACTAAATGTGTGGTAATTTGTTACAGCAGCCATAAGAAACAATTCCATAGGCTTATAATGAATGTTTGTTGAGTGAATGAATTTTGATTCCCAGCCTCTTTCTCCTCCTTCTGAAATCTCTCTCTTGACCACTCTGTGCTTAGCTCTTCTTCTGTATAACAGCTCCCTCAGTGCCTCATCCACTTCCATGATTTAAGCTTTTTGCTTTATCCTGATGACTGCCAAATTGTTATTTCCACGTTCTTTGTCTCACCTGCGCTCTTAATTCCACCTTTCTTGTGCCTTCAGAAATCTCTGCAGGAGTGTTAATGGTCCCTTTATTCTCAAAATAGGAAAATGGAAACTAATTTTTTCTCTCGAAGCTCAAAAATCCTTGTCTTTTCCTACTTCCCCTTAAATTATTTTCGTTTACTATTCTTCTACTCTGATAACGGACAACCACGAAATCACGTTAAACTTTTTGATCTGCCGTCTCTAATATCCTTCTACTGATCTCAGCAGTTCCTTGTGTTCATTGCCCACATATACGATCTCTCTTATTCTTACATTACCCAAAACTAGAGTCTTGCTCCCTCTTGCATTGGTAACTGTAATTCTTAATTGGAATTATTATTTAAATATGGCATCCAATTTACCTTGCTCTGTGGTGACAAAATAATCTTATGGTTGCCTCTTATTACTTAATATGTGAAATTTAAATTTCTTGTATTTAAGTGGGCACCACATTATGAGCTCATCTTGCATTATAAGATTTATATATTTATTTTGTCTACATTGATGGCAAACTCTATGTCATCCAGGCTCCTAAATGTCACGCAGGCATATGACATTCTTCCCTACATCACGTCTTTCATCATTGCATGCTTTCCCTGTACAATTCTTAAGGAAATTAGTTTATTAAATTCCTTAATATGCTTGGCAGATGGGATAAGCCTGCTGTTGTAGTTGTTTTTTTAGTACACATTTTGTTTTGGTTTAAATTGCCACTTCCGTGAATGGTTTTGGAATGCTTTAGTCTACCTGAATCTTTCCCATTTGAAAGCTCCCAAGACGCTTCATGGCTGTATACAAGAAAATGACACTTAGCCACAATCTATGCCACGTAACTTAGTTATTGAATGAGGCTCCTTTCCCTGCCTGGATTATAATGGCCTTCGTTTTCTATAGTAAGTATTCCATAATTACATTGTGGATTGACTCCTTACCCAGATTGGGGATTAAAAAAACAAAACCCAAAACCAAACCCATTGCCATCGAGTTGATCCCGACTCATAGCGACCCCATAGGACAGAGTAGAACTGCCCCATACGGTTTCCAAGGCTGAAATCTTTTTTTTTTTAATGGAACTTTAGATGCAAGTTTACAGAACAAACTAGCTTCTCATTCAACAGATAGTTCACATACTGTTTTATGACATTAGTTAGCAACCCCACGACATGTCAACACTTTCCCTTCTAGATCTTGGATTCCGTATTACCAGCTTTCCTGTCCCCTCCTGCCTTCTAGTTCTTGCCCCTGGGCTGGTGTGCCCCTTTAGTCCCATTTTGTTTTATGGGCCTGTCTAATCTTTGGCTGAAGGGTGAACCTCAGGAGTGACTTCATTACTGAGCTTAAAAGGGTGTCTGGGGGCCATACTCTAGGAGTTTCTCCAGTCTCTGTCAGGCCAGTAAGTCTGGTTTTTTTTTGTGAGTTAGAATTTTGTTCTACATTTTTCTCCAGCGCTGTCCGAGACTCTCTGTTTTGATCCCTGTCAGAGCAGTCAGTGGTGGTAGCTGGGCACCATCTAGTTGTACTGGACTCAGTCTGGTGGAGGCCGTGGTAGGTGTGGTCCATTAGTCCTTTGGACCAGTCTTTCCCTGGTACCTTTCGTTTTCTTCATTCTCCCTTGCTCCGAAAGGGGTAAGACCAGTAGAGTATCTTAGATGGCCACTCACAGGCTTTTAAGACCCCAGATGCTGCTTACCAAAGTAAAATGTAGAACATTTTCTTTATACCAAGGCCGAAATCTTTATGGAAGCAAACTGCCATGTATTTTCCTGTGGAGCAGCTGGTGGGTTGAAACTGTTAGCGGCCTATCACTTTAACCACTGCACCACCAGGGCTCCTTAGATTGGGGATAAAACCCAAAACAACCTGTTGCCGTTGAGTCGATTGTGACTCATAGTGGCACTATAGGACAGAGTAGAACTGCCCCCATAGAATTTCCAAGGAGCAGCTGGTGGATTCGAACTGCCAACCTTTTGGTTAGCAGCCAAGCTCTTAACCACCGTACCATCAGAGCCTCAAGATTGGGGATAGGTACTTCATATTGTTCGACTCAAAGAGCATTATCCCTAAACGTAAATGCTTGAGTCAAATTCCCTGGACTTTTGAATCATGAGGTGCAGACTGGCATTGGGTCTAAGCCATTGTGTGGCAAAGAGTTCTCTAGGTGGAGGCAAACTGCCTTTAAGGATATCTGATTTAATCAACATCTAGCCAGATGCAAATAAATCACAATGAATATTTTATTTAGGAAATGAATATAGCTGCATAAAATATATATAGCATCTAAGAGTGCCACTAATTGAAGGTGAACCATTATTTTAGGTTCAACTACAAAAATGCTGCCTGTTTAACCGTGGGCATGCCGTCAATATAAAGATGCATTCTGATTTTAGTGATGGTGATTTGCTTCAAAAATCATGTGTCACTGGTACATGGATTTTATCCAGGTATCCACTGTTAAAATGAATGACACAGGCAGTAGTTACTTTAGCAAATGTTAAATGGTGGTTAAGTTTGTGGAAGATACAAGCTTTTTCTTTCTTTTTGACAATTTGTGAAAATAGCTTTGCCTTCAAGGGTATCTAGATTTTGAGTAGTACTGAGGCTGGAATGCACACTAACTTAAGAATATCAGCACAAGATTTTTGGTGGAAATGAACCATTTAAGGGTGTCAAAAAAAACAAAAAAGCCTCAGAACACCATTAACAGATTGCCATGCAGGTTTAATAGACAGTTTGTAACTGGGCATCACATCATTACTGAGTGAATCAGTGCTCTGATTAATTAATATTTTCAGGGTACAGGTGGTCCCCAGCTTACCGCGTATTTGAGTTACGACGAACTGCACTTACGACAATCTGTGTTTTTTTTCCTGTACATCTAATCATTAGTAATATGTACACACTTACAGTGTTGCAGCCTGTAATTTACTGATGCTGTCATTCTCAGATGTTCACTCAGAAATGTTCGATGTTACGATTTACTGTTAAAACACTGCCATATAGCAGGCTATGAAAAGTCATCAGAACGGAACCCTGTCGTAAGTCAGGGACTACCTGTACTTACAATTTCATCAGGAACTTTGAACAAAAAATTTTTGATTGGTTGACAGTTAATGTCAGAATATGTAAGTCTTATAAGAGAGCAGTATGTGCTCAAACGTTATCAAAGCTTAAATAGGAACCTTACTAAGACAATCACAAGATCAGTGAGCCATGGTTGCAAGACTTCTGGAGTCTTGGAAACAGGATGTGTTCATTAATCTTTGATGGTTTTCTAAAAGAATAAATTTTACGTGTTTCAGTGAACCTGATGACCTAAATACAGTTAGGTAAAACTAGACAAGCTACTTCTCAAAGTTTAGTTCAACGCATAGCTATAAGCATTTAAAATATTATATATATTTTTTATTCAGTCACTCATTCAGTCATTCATTTATTCAATTCATGGTTATACCGCACATAGGTTTCTAACATTTAATAGGATGACCTTTAGTGTCATAGGCAAGAGAACTCTGTTTTCATAAAGCAAAACTTATTTTATTTCAAAGGGGGAAAAATAGCCTGGACAGACTAGAGCAGAAAATACTGTGGACTTGTGGAATGGCAGCATAAACAACTATTGTGTGTTCCGTTAGTGTAAAACTTTGGTTTTCAGAATGATGCCACTTTCGTGTTCTGCTGATCCTGGGGCAGGGGCTTAGGATCTTCTTAGACTTTTAGTATGTGACTTTTAGATAGCATATCGTTGCATGGAATATAGTTAGCAGCAAAGTAATAGCAGTCAAATCTACACAGAAACTTCCATGATAAATACATGTAAAGGATATTTCCAAAATTTCTGGGCACAGTTTAAAATATATGAGCCATAAAGCTCTTTCAGTCACTAGAAACCTTATGTTGACAGGTAGATGGAAAGCAGAGTAAGGATTGGGTGGCGGCAAACTGGTTTCAGAAAAATGAGTGTGCAGATTGAAAGGGGTTATTTTACTTACCTAGTGCTGCTGTACAAACAGTACCACAAGTGAGTGGCTTTAAAAACAAATTTATTTTTTCACTGTTCTGGAAGCTAAATGTCCAAATCAGGGTCTCTGCTGTGTCAGTTCCTTCTGTGGACCTCTCTCCTAGTTTCTGGTGACTGCCTGTAATGCTTGATGTTCGTTTGCTTATCAGTGGTCTTCATGTGGCATCTGTTGTCTGTGTGTGTGTATGTAGGTGTATGTCTATTCTGCTGTTTTTATAAGACACCACTTTAGAAGTCATTAGGTTTAGGACTTACCCTGCTCTTGTGTGGCCTCATTTACCTAACCAGAGAAACACCCAACTTCCAGACAGGATGATATTTATAGGTACATAGGTTAGGACAACACATATTTTTGATAGTCACACTTCATAACAGATTAAGATTTGATAATTATGAGAGGTTTCTTAGGAAATAACACTGAAAAATAAACCAATATAAAGACACTGAAGCCATAATAGGGCAGTAAGTCCAATCCAAGTGGAAACATGGCTTTTCCTCTCATCAGCTTGCACTTGTGCATTTGTGTTCCTATTTGTGACAGCTAGGAGAATTAGAGCCTGAGCTTTAGGACTCTTCCTTTAATTAGGAGGAAGTTGGTGCCAAATCTATTTTGGTGTTTATGTGTAGAATGCAAAAGAGGGTACTCCCAAGGAAGCATTTAGACTGATAAATAGCCTCCTGTTGTAATCTATAAGGAGCCCTGGTGGCGCAGTGGTTAAAGCACTCAGCTGCTAACCGAGAGGTCAGTGGTTCGAACTCACTGGCTGCTCCATGGGAGAAAGATGTGGCAGTTTATTTCCATAAAGATTTACAGCTTTGGAAACCCTATGGGGCAGTCCTACTCTGTCCTGTAGGGTCGCTATGAGTCAGAATCGACTCGACAGCAGTGGGTTTGGTTTGGGTTGGGTTTATTGTAATTTATACTTGATCATGTAAAAACCTAGACACTGGTATTCCTCCTCAGCCCAGATAATTCCTCTGAATTATAACCTGAAAATCTTTGCTGATTTTTCTTATCCTTATACTTACTGTTCACAATCCTTGTTGAATTCATCTCATCACAGATTTTCCTGTCCCTAAAAATAAATCACTCTTAAAAATCCTCCAGTCTCAATTTACTGTTCCTGTCTTTTATGTTCTTTCTCTACAGTTTTGAGAATCATATTTTAAAATGAAAAACACATGTGTATTCATTACCAATTTTTTTCCTACTACAAAATTTTACTCCCAAAGGAAAGAAACAGAGGGAATGCACACTTGAGATTACTTTGTTGTTGGGAAACTAGAATCAAATAAATACATAATAGGGTGTGTGTGTGTGTGTGTGTGTGTGTGTGTGTGTGTGTGTGTATGTGTGTTCTATATAAGAGATGTGTTCAATTTCATACAGTATTCCTAATTTTTTTCATTTTTAGAAGTCTGTCAACTTGATTACCTCTTAGAGACTTGCCGGAAAAACAAAGACAACCATTTGTGGCAAATTTTGTTGACCAACAGCAACATATCGACTACAGAGGAAGAGAAACATTCAAAAGAACCATGTGATCCGGGCATTGAAAGTTATCCTTCAAGAAAATTGTACTATAAATGTGACACCACAGTCCCTACTTCTATGGGTCTCATACCATTGAATCTACATTTTAATTCTTCAAGACAGAAGGATGGTGAGCTTACTGTATGTGAGAAGTGGCACATTAGGGATGAGAGAACATATATTGAAGAACAATCTTATGAATATAATAAAAATGTGGAAGTTAGTCATAATAAGGACGTTATTCAGTATCAGACAATTCAGACTTTGAAGCAAGCTTTTGAATATGATGAACATGGAAAACCTTTCCATAATGCGACTGCCCTCATTACACCTAAGAGTGCCCACACAAAAGGAAAATCTTATACATATAATAAATTTGGAAAAAACATATATCGTAAATCAACCCTTCCTCCCTCACAGAACATTCTCTTAGAGGAGAAGAATAATTATGGATTTAATGGTTATGAATGTAATGAAAATGGGAATAATTTCAGTGGGATCACTCATCTTCAGAGAATGGACACAAGAGGGAAAATTTTCAGCCATAAGCCACACTTCAGAGAACATCAGAGAACTCATATAGAAGTGAAACCCCTTGAATATGGAAAAATCTTCAGCAATGATTCAGCAGTTACAGTACACCAGACAACTCCCACAATGGAGAATTCTTGCGATTATAACACATATAGGGAAAACTTCAGTTCCCAGTCAGCCTTCACTGTACATGAGGGAACTCATATAAGGGCAAAACCCTATGATTGGAATGAATGTGGAAAATCTTTTACAAAGTCATACTTCATTTTACATAAGAGAAATCATATAAGTAAGAAAACCTACGAATGTAATGAATGTGGAACAGTTTTCCTCTGGGAATCATACCTTAAAATGCATCAGAGAATGCATGCAGGGAAGAAGAACCCCTATGAATATAGTGAATTTGGTAATGTTTACAAGAAGTCATATTTTAGAGAAAATCGGAGAACTTACACAGAGGAGAAACAATATGAATGTAACAAGTGTGGAAAATCGTTTTGTAAAAAGTCACTCCTCATTCTTCATCAGAGGACTCACACAGGGGAGAAACCCTATGTATGTTTTGAATGTGGCAAAGCTTTTAGCCAGAAATCAGGCCTACGAAAACATCAGGGAACTCATACAGGGGAGAGACCCTATGAATGTATTGAATGTGGGAAAGCTTTCAGACAGAAGGCAGGCCTAATAATACATCAGAGAATTCACACAGGGGAGAAACCGTATGAGTGTAATGAATGCGAGAAAACATTCACCCATAAATCACACCTCAGGGTACACCAGAGAACTCATACAGGTGAAAAACCCTATGAATGTAATGAATGTGGAAAAATTTTTAGCCATAATTCAAGCCTCAGAGACCATCAGAGAATTCACACAGGGGAGAAACCATATAAGTGTCAAGAATGTGGAAAAAGTTTTGGCGATAAGTCAACCCTCATACTACATCAGAGAACTCACACAGGGGAGAAACCATATAAATGTGATGAATGTGGGAAAACTTTCAGCCAGAAGTCACACCTCAATGGACATCAGAGAATTCACACAGGGGAGAAACCCTATGAATGTAATGCATGTGGGAAAACTTTCAACCTGAAATCAGGCCTAAGAAAACATCAGAAAACTCACACAGGAGCAAAACCCTATAAATGTGATGGCTGTGGGAAATTTTTCAGCCAAAAATCAAACCTCCGAGTTCATCATAGAATACACACAGGGGAGAAACCTTATCAATGTGATGAATGTGGGAAAACTTTCCGCCAGAAATCTAACCTTAGAAGTCATCAGAGAATTCACACAGGAGAGAAACCGTATCAATGTAATGAATGTGGAGAAGCTTTCACTGTGACATCAGGTCTAAGAAGTCACCAGAGAACTCACAGAGAGGAAGCGCTATGAATGCAATGAATGTGGGAAAACTTTCAGTCAGAAATCATATGTTAGAGACCATAACAAGACTCACATAGGAGATTAAACATGAACGTGGGAAAACTTTTAATTAGAAGTCATATCTCACGATATATCAGACACGAGAGAAATTGTGAGTGCAATGAATGTGGGAAACATTTCAACAAGAATTCAAGATTTAGGAAAGATTTCGAATTTGCACACTGGAGTAGTCCTATGAATGTAATGCTCACAGTTCCTCCACAAGAAATTGGCCCTCACTAAACATCAGAGAACTTACACAGAAGGTAAACTCTTGAAATGTACATGGACAGTTTTTCAGACAGAGTTCAGTCTTCACTGGATATCAGGGAACTCAAGAGAATGTCATAAAAATATGCAGACTTTCTGGCAGAAATGAAACCTCATTGAGCGTCACAGAAATCTCACAGTGAAGGAAACTTAGAAGGTAATAAATTTGTTGGCCAAAAGCCAACTTTCTCAGTGTGACAGAAAATACATAGTATATCAGAATACACACAAAAGAAACCTTATGTTTGGGAATAGATGTAGGAAATACTCTTAACAGGGATCAACCCTAACCTTGACTTACACATAGGTAATTTCCATGTGGTATATACTACTTTGTCACCATCTTCCAAGGGCCACTCTTAGTCTAAATTTCTCAACCACTCTTTCATCCAAGTGGGATCATTTTACCAGTTCCTGGCTAGTCACTTTGAGGACCGATGTGCGCCTGACGCAAGCCATTGTACTTTCAGTCACCTCGTGTGCATGTGAAAGCTGGACAATGAATAAGGAAGACCAAATAACTGATGCCTTTGAATTATAGTGTTGGTCAAGAATATTGAATATACCGTGGACTGCCAGAAGAATGAACAAATCTGTGTTAGAAGAAGTACAGCCAGAATGCTCCTTAGAAGGGAGGATAACAAGATTTCATCTCACTTACTGTGGACGTGTTATCAGGAGGGAGCAGTCCCTGGAGAAGGACACCCTTCTTGGTAAAGTAGAGGGTCAGTGAAAAAGAGGAAGACCCTCAACGATTGTGAGGATGGCACAGGACTGGGCAGTGTTTCATTTTGTGCATAGGGTCTCTGAGTTGGAACCAACTTGACAGCACCTAACAACAGCTAGTGGAAAGTGGTCATCAGTGACAAAAAAAAAACCTATAAAATACATCCCTCAAAATCTTTCATGATCTCCTGTCCGTGGTCAGAATGGAACAGAGTCTCTCAGGGTAATCTTGGAAGTACTGCACTGAACAGGAACGATCGTGAGATGGAAGGAGACAGGGTCTGTGTGGAGCAGAGTTTTACTCCTCTACCTCTAATACTTAAAAAATTTTTGTGAGGAAGAAATAAACATGTGCTTTAGTGAGATTTTACCGGTTTGGGTGTACTTGTTACTAACATATAGCCATCCCTCAGCTATTGCACCCTTGAATAATGACTTCTGTGATAACTCAGCACTCAGTGTATATTACAGATATTGCAAAGGACAAACCCCTGACAATATCTTGAAGGATCATAAGCATTTATTCACAACTCTTCGTTATTAATGAGATATATGTAGAGAGAAATCCAACATTTCCATATATATATGAAAGTCTTTACCAAGAAATGATGTCTCATTGAATATCAGGTAATTAAGGGTATAAATGTTTTGTATGTGTGAAAGTTTTCAACAAACTTTCATATCTTATTATTTATCAATGAGTGTTCTGAAGGAAAAACTGTCAATTTGAGAAATGTAAGTAAAAGCCTTTATCTAAAAACTTACCAGAACTCTTATTTCATGTATAATATCACAACATTTAATAACATATAACAAAATATTCATAGACATTCATTAGAGTAAAACTTTTTAAAGGCCAGAAAAACTTGTGTAATTAAAACAACAGCATCAATTTATTTGTGAGTATTCTGTAGTGTTTCCTATGTGAGTATGTATATGTGCATACTACTAGTTAGCTATTTGATTATGTATTGGAACCCAACATCCCTGCAGTAGAATTATGTTCCCTTCACTTTATTATTATTATAAGCTATAATTTCCCACAAGTATATTAATAACAAATAAACTCTTCCTGGGAAATAACTGAAAGGTTTAAAATACCATACCACATCTTCTTGTCTTCTGGTATGTGTGTATAGGAAAAACCATTTCTGAACTGCCTCCTCAGCAAAGAAGGCAAACATTTTCTGTAAACGTTTGTATTGTCTCAGGGTTTGCAATGCATTTTGTTGAAACAGTATTTATAGAAAATATACAAAGATCCCATACACCATTGTTTGTAAAACAAGCCTGATTTTAAGAGCAACTGAACAGTGGTGGTCAGTAAGAAAAAATCTCCTTCCTCATATTCCTGATACGTTCCCTGAGGTGCCTACATAAAGAGGACTGATTAAATCTTAATTCTCTATAACCCCTGCAGTATCTGCAGGTTGTACTTTCTTATGATAGAATGCCACATAGTGTACTCTGCAGTTTTCTTTCTGGTGTTGACATAGTGGCTGAGAACATGTACTTGGAGCCAGACTACCTGTTCTGAAATTTTTAATCCCTGTGGGACACTGGGTAGGTTACATAAACTGCACCTTAGCTTCCTTACTTGCAAACTGGAGATGATGTCATTTCCCTCATCAGGGTATTATGAGGATTAAAATTGTTTATCTAAAGCAAGTGGAAGAATGTATGGCATCTGGTAGATTTTATGTACATGTTAAGCATTGTTGTTATTACTACCACCATCATAATGGTCAGTATTTCTTGAATTTGCGTGAATAAAATGTTAGAAGATTGAACAGATTCGACTGGTTGGCTGTTTAGGACCCATCCCTATTTTTTCTTCCCTATCAGAGCAACCCCTTCCTCGATGATGCAGAAATAAGACTTTAGCCTGGATTAAACATGGAAATACACCTCCTGTAGAGTAGACTTTCTCAACCTTTTTTTCATTATCACTTTCCAAAGAACACTTTCAGATTTGTCTTGTTGCCTCCAACTCAGTATTTTCATACCAAAGATGTACATCTGTATACTGTATGTTTGTGCTTTATACATAAAAAGTGAAGTTTTATGGGGGGGGGTTTGTTTTTGTTTTTTGCCCCTCCTCTCCAAGAACTAAGTTTTGCCTCCCTCGGGGCAGTATTGTCTACGGCTTAGAGTGTGACTAACTCAGCTACATCCAGCGAGACCTTTGAAGAACATTTTTATGGATTTCCTCAATGATAAGTTATTCATGCCATTGTGTAAAAAGTTTTTCTGCCTTATGAGCTGTTGTATTATCTTTGAGCACTTAGTATAGTGTTAGGTGTGTCTTCCATGTTAAATACATGAAATACATTAAAATGAATCATCCATCGACCAGCATGTGTTGTGGTCATTTTTGTGTGTGTGTGGGTGGGGGGAGAATATGAGGTAAGTATTAACCTGTATTTCTTCAGGATAATAGCTAGCTGTTCTTATACCATTAGATTATTTCATATCATTTCCACAGATTTGGAATACTTTTCTTGTAATGAATTATCCCTTGTGGTATGGCAAGTGTTTGCTTTGTGCTCCTTTCCAACATTCCTCTAATAACAAATCCTGCAACAGGGCAGCAGATAACCCATATGAGACAATAACAGTATCTCATCCTCCTGCTTCTTCATTTATTCCAGGGAAGGGCATTTAATCCAAAGTCTACCAATGAATGTCCCCTCTAGGACTTCTGAAATGCAACAGGAGAAAATAAAGTTATATGTAGTGAGGAGTGGATATAACAATTCTGATATCTCACAAGTCCAGGCAATGTATGACTCCCAGAGGACTACAGTAGCATTGGTCTTTCAGTGGTTTCATTATGTAGCTAATAAACACTGGTAACGTGTGTATACTTTGTTTCTGAGCTCTTCTAATTTTTACTTTGATGTGATATACAGAAAAGTTGCCAGAAGAATACGAAGTATTCATTTTGACTCCCCAAAACGCTAACATTTTACCAGATTTCCTTTACCTTCTCTCAGATGGGTGGATGGAGTTCATAAGTTTTCCTGAAATGCTGAAGAATAAGTGACAGACATGAGGCTCTTTACTAAATATTTCAGTGTTATATCCTAAAAGCAAGTAATTTTCTGAAGTAATCTCAGTACATTTATGAAAATCAGGAGATTAGCATTGATAAAATAGTATAGTTGATCCTCATTAGGCACAAATTTCATATTTGCAAGTATGCCTGCTCACAAAAATTCATTTGTAACTCTGAAATCAATATTTGCAGTACTTTTGTGATCATTCACAGACATCCTCAGAACATCAAAAAATGCCCTATCACGGGTTCCCAGCTGAGGTTGAACAAGGCAATACTCTGATACGTTATTCGTAGATAGGAAAGTTGTCGGCTTTTATACATTAACATTGTTTCTTGCTGAATTATAGTTTCATACAGCAAACGTGTCCTTTTCACAGTATTTAGTGCCACTTTTTTTACTTTTGTGCTTTTAGTGATTTCACTGTTTAAAATGGCCCCCAAGTGTAGTGCTGAAGTGCTGCCTAAGCGCAAGAAGACTGATGTAGATGTGCCTTACGGATGAGCTTGGTTCAAGCATGAGTTATAGTGCTGTTGGCACTAACCAACAATATATATTTAATAAGTGTCTAAACAGAAACACAAAACAAGATTATATATTGATTGATGAAGTAACCAGTGGTTTGCAGTGACCTAACTGTATTAAGGAGCCGTAGTGATGCAATTTGTAAGTGCTCAGCTGCTAACTGGATGGTCGGTGATTCAAACCTACCAACAGCTCCATGGGAGAAAAGACCTGGAGATCTACCCCTGTAAAGATACATCCTAGAAAATGCTATGGGGGAGTTCTTTTCTGTCCTGTCAGGTCACAATGAGTGGGAATCGACTCGACAGCACACAACAACAACAAACTTGTATTTAGTTTCATATTTGCTAATTCACTGTTCGTGGCAACTCCAGAATATATCTACTACGAATAACGAGAATCGACTATTATGTAATCTACATGCCTTGTTCACATTTTACCAATCGTCCCAATAATTTCAGTTATAGCAAAAAATAAAATCCAAGATTATGCATTGCATTATGTTGTTCTATCATTTTAGTCTCCCTTAAGCAGTTCTTCAGACTTTGTTTGCATTTCATGGTATTGGCATGTTATAGATTGAATTGTGTCCCCTCGAAATACGTGTTGGAATCCTAACCTCTATGCCTGTAGAAGGAGCCCTGGTTGTGCAATGGTTAAGCATTTGGCTGCTAACCAAAAGGTCGGCGGTTTGAACCCACTAACTACTCCATGGAGGAAAGATGTGGCAGTCTGCTTCTGTAAAGATTACAGCCTTTTATCTTTGGTGAAGGGTGAGACAGTACACAATACTGGGGAAACCAGCACAACTTGTACAAGGAAAGGTCATGGAAGCTCCATAGACACATCCAAACTCCCTGAGGGACTGAATTGCTGGGCGTAGAGCTGTGGGGACCATGGTCTCGGGGAACATCTAGCTCAATTGGCATAACACAGTTTATAAAGACAATGTTCTACATTCTACCTTGGTGAGTAGCGTCTGGGGTCTTCAAAGCCTGTGAGCAGCCATCTAAGATACTCCACTGTTCTCACCCCTTCAGGAGCAAGGGAGAATGAAGAGAACAGGATACAAGGAAAAGATTAGTCCAGAGGACTAATGGACCACAGCTACCAAGGCCTCCACCAGACTGAGTCCAGTACAGCCAGATGGTGCCCAGCTACCACCACTGACTGCTCTGACCGGGATCACAACAGAGGGTTCTGGACAGAGCTGGAGAAGGATGTAGAACAAAATTCTAACACAAAAAAGACCAGA